CCTCTTTCGTCAGCACTTCGGCCCGTCGCCAGACCTCCCGGACTGGCACAGTTTGCTTAGTCGTAGGATTCAGATTTTTGACATGGACATGGATGCCATTGTTTCTGCTCTGCATGTGATGTATGATGATGACACTAGTGCGCTTCCCGCTTATTACTCACTGTCGCCTAGTGTAGGTGTGCCTAGCTTAGCCTCCCCTGCTGCGTCAGGCGTAGGATCCCCTGCTTTGTTTAGCCTTGGTGCTTCCGCCGTCGCCCCGTCGCCGGACGCCACTGCTTCGCTTTCCTTCACCTTGGACTCTGGCACTTCCCGGTGCTTCTTCCGCGACTCTACTACACTGACGCCGCTTCATGTTCCTGCTGCCGTTTCTCTTGCTGACCCCTCCGGCGGTTCGGTAGTCGCCCGCAGTTTCACCACCCTTCCCTGTCCGGCGGTTCCTTCGGGCTCTCTTACAGGTCTGCATATCCCCTCGTTCTCCAGGAACCTAGTTGGTGTCGGCTGCCTCTAGGACCTTGGCGTCACCACTACGTTCCCTGGTCACGAGCGGTATGCTGTCTGTACCGAGGCCGCCACTGGTGCCCCCTTGTCCACGTTCCCCTGGGACCCGGTGTCCGGCCTGTTCACTCTGGACACCGTGACCCCCCTGGCTGCGGCGCCCCCTCAGGTGGCTGCGTCTACCCAGGTTGCTGCTGCCTGCTCCTGTCGGTCCCTCGCTCACCCGACTCTCCTTTGGCACCACCGCCTAGGTCACCTTGCGCTCCCGCGTCTGCGTCACATGTCCCAGCACGATGTCGTCCTTGGTCTCCCTGGTTCTCTCCCCACTTTTCCCTCCTCCCCAGCCCCACCTTCCACGCCTTGCGTCGAGGGTCGGCTTCGCCGTGCCCCTCACTCCTCCTCGTTTCCGTCTACCGCCGCGCCGCAACAGACCCTGCACATGGACGTCTGGGGCCCCGCCCTCGTCCATGGGCCGCGTTGAGAGCGCTACTTCCTTGTGCTTGTCGATGACTTCACTCGCTACACCTCGGTCTTTCCCCTGGAGCAAAAGACCGACGTGCCTGCCGCTCTCATCCCCTGGCTTGTCTCTGCCTGTGTCCACCAAGGTCTCCTTGTCTTGCGCCTTCACTCCGACCGTGGTGACGAGTTTGCCTCAGGTGTCCTTGGTCGCTTTTGTCGTGCGGAGGGCATCACCCAGACGTTCACCCTACAGGACTCCCCACAGCAGAATGGGGTCGTTGAGCGACGCATCGGTTTGGTCATGGAGGTGGCTCGCACCTCCATGATCCATGCCGATGCACCCCATTTTCTGTGGCCGTTCGCTGTGCGTTACGCTTCTCACCAGCTTAACCTGTGGCCGCACCCCCAGCAGCCGCAGGTTTCGCCGACCCGTCTTTGGACTGGGTCTCCAGGTGACGCGTCTGCGTTCCACGTCTGGGGCTGCCTTGCTCACGTCCGTGCCTCCGGAATGGACAAGCTCACTGCCCGCACCCTTCCCTGCGTCTTCCTCGGTTTTCCCCTTGACGCGTCCGACTAGCACTTCTACCTCCCGCCGTCTCACCGGTTCTTTCACTCTCGCGACGTCACCTTTGACGAGTCCGTCTCCTACTACCATCGCTTCCCCCACCGCGGTTCCCCGGTTACCCCCCCCTGTTCCTGGTCACTCCTTCCCCGGTAGTCCCTGCCCCTCCCCCTCCTCCTCCCCGTCCTGCCCCCTCTGGTGTGTCCCACGTCACCCCTCTTCCGTCAGTGGTCCCGGTTGAGGAGCCTTCTAACTCTGGTGGTCCTGCGGCGCAGTCCTCGCCGGCTGCCCCTCCCCAGGCGTCCCCTCCTCTACCGCCTCTGCCGCCGCTTTCGCCCCTGCTGTCGCACCCGTTGTCACCTCCGCCGCCTTCGCCGTCGCAGCACCCGTTCGTTGACTCTGGGGGTGCTGGCGTTGGAGTGTGGGCGAGTCCCAGTAGCCCTGGGGGTGGTACCGGTCCTCGAGGGGTTTCGGGCCTTGGAGGTGTTCCCTCTGGGGGTGCTGGTGTGGAGTGTGCCGGTGGTAGCCAAGGAGCAGCTTGCGATCCCGGTGTCGGCGTTGTGCCGCCGCAGCAGCAGTCCCCGCCGGTGTCAGCCCTTCGCCTGCTCAGCCTTCCGTCCCCTGACCCTGCGTCTGTTCCTCTCCGGCCGTCTCCTCCACTTCCCGTCTACGGCCCTGTTTTCCCTCCGCCGGACTCATCCCCAGCTCGTCTTCCCCCTCGTTCCCCTCCTGTGTCGCCTCCCCTGTCTCCTGACCCGACTCCTCCGTCTCACGTCTGGTCTCACCGTCCCTCCCGTGCTCGTCCTGCCTCGCCTGTCTTGCGCTCCCACCCTATGTTGCTTCGTTCCCACGCGTCTCGTCCTCCCCTTCTCCCGTCGCCTCCTCCGTCCTCCCTTGTTGTTGCACCCCCCCCGCTGTCTGACTACCTTCGTGCCGCTCGTCCTCTTGTTCCTCGGGTCCTTGCCTCTCTCGTTACGGACCCATTTGTTCCGGTCTCGTGCCTTGACGCTCTTGTAGCTGCGGTCGCTGACTTCGCCTCTACCCGCCGCCTTGACTACGCCACCGCTCTGGTCTCTGACCCTGCCTGTCCTCCGTCTGTCGGGGGTGCTCCTGCCCTTGGCAGTGACATCCTGGAGGACCGCCAGTTCGAGCTTGCTTTCCTGTCCGAGGCTGCTCCCCATCTCTGTTCCATGCTGCTAGTCCCTGAGGGTGACCCAGACGCTTTCGACATCCCGACCCCTCGCACTTACGCTGAGGCGACCTCGGGACCCTGGGCCTCGCAGTGGATAGCTTCCATGGAGCAGGAGATGGCATCTTGGAGATCCACCGGCACCTTCGTCGACGCAGTTCCCCCGCCTGGGGTGAACGTAGTCGATGGCCGCTGGCTCTTCAAGGTGAAGCGCCCTCCTGGAGAGCCGCCTGTGTTCAAGGCGCGCTACGTGGCTAGAGGCTTCAGTCAGCGTGAGGGGGTGGATTTCTTCCAGACCTTCGCTCCGACCCCGAAGATGACTACTCTTCGGGTTCTGTTAGACCTAGCTGCTCAGCGTGACTACGAGCTTCACTCCCTCGACTTCTCCACTGCCTTCCTTCAGGGCAGCCTACACGAGCAGGTCTACTTGCGTCGTCCTCAGAGCTTTACTGGCACCTTCCCTCCTGGGACCCAGTGGCTCCTGCGGCGCCCAGTCTACGGCCTGCGCCAAGCTCCCCGTGAGTGGCACGACATGTTGCGTGCTACCCTTGCTGACCTGCAGTTCTTTCCGTCTTCCGCAGACCCCTCACTCTTCGTTCGTGCTTGCCAGACTCCGTTCTTCATCCTTGTTTACGTCGACGACCTGGTCTTTGCCACAGCAGACAGGGACGCACTGGTCTCAGTGAAGGCAGAGCTGCTAAAGAGACACACGTGCACTGACCTTGGAGAACTGCGCCATTACCTTGGCTTGCTGATCTCCAGGGACAGAGCAGCGCGCACCATCATCCTGACTCAGTCACACTTGGTGCGCCAGGTCCTTCAGAGGTTCGGCCTTCAGTTCTCCTCCGCACAGCCCACCCCTCTGCCTGTAGACCACAGACTCTCTGCTCCAGTTTCTGAGGAGTCGGTAGAGCCCAGCGGCCCCTACGCAGAGCTGGTGGGTTGCCTCATGTACCTGATGACTTGCACTTGCCCAGATCTCGCATACCCTCTCAGCATCCTGGCGCACTTTGTGGCCACAGGCAGACACCGACCGCAGCACTGGTCTGCCGCTAAGTGGGTTTTGCGTTATCTTGCTAGTACATCGGGCATGGGGTTAGTGCTAGGAGGACGTGGGCCAGTGGTCCTAACTGGACACACAGACGCTTCTTGGGCAGACGACGCCGAGACACTCAGGTCTACCCAGGGCTACTGCTTCAGCCTTGGTTCAGGTGCCGTCTCGTGGAGAGCTACCCGCTCCTCGTGTGTTGCCCAGTCCAGCTGTGAGGCCGAGATCTACGCTGGTGCCATGGCGGCACAGGAGCCCCGCTGGCTGACCTTCTTGCTCACTGACTTAGGTGAGCGGCCTAGCTCTGCCCCGGTCCTGTTCGCTGACAACAGGGCCATGATCCTCCTGTGTCAGGAGCCTCGACTCGAGGGCAGAGCTAAGCACATCCAGCTGCGGTACTTCCTCCTGTGCGAGCTACAGCAGCGACGCCAGGCTCGCGTAGTACACTTGGCCTCAGGTGCCAACACAGCTGATATCTTTACGAAGGCGCTTGCGCCTAAAGATCATCAGCGGCACTGTGTACAGCTTGGTCTAGTTCCTGTAGCCTCTCACTTGCTAGGGCCTTGACTTTGTACTGTCCTTTATATGTGTACTCAGACTGGACTTGTGTCCTCTCCCAGTGGCTGGACTAGTAGTGCCGCCCTGAGCTGCTTGTTCGGGACCTGCCCCTATGCAGTCTAGGGGGTGTGTCAAACATGTGTATCTCCTATGTTTGCATAGACTGTATAGGGCCACCTCTTAGAGGGTACAACACTTAGGTATATTCACCTGTACTCTCTCTCTACTCAGTCATTCAGTTCTCATTCTAACACAGGAGTCTAAGTATAGAATCTGCAGATACGAACACTTGGAAAACCTGAAGTGTTAGTCCATGATCTTTACTGGAATGGTAGACTAGTAAGACATCGGAAGTCTTGTAAAAGTGAATTTGAGTATAGCTCTTGTAAAATTCAAGGTTGAACAACCTGAGCTCATGAACTTGTGAGTAATAAAAGTTAATAATGGAAAGACATAACAAGGATTTATAGTTCTAGAAAAAGTACTTATTCGCTAATGTATTTGTTCGTCACTATCGCGCTATTCGCCCTAAATGACAATGAAGAGGTACGACTGTTCGCGTGACTGAAACGACTGTCCCCATGACGAGCGCTATTTGCTGACGTCATCCTACGGACTTATGTTCTACAGTAGGATTCGACACTATTTACACATAAGTGACTTACAGAAGTGCTAAGTTATGAATTATATCACAACACTCTTGTACCGACCCTGATGAATCAGCCTTGAAAACGAAAGAACCAGGGGCATCCAGTAAGAAAACCACTACCAAAAACTGATTTTCAAGGTGTTTTTTGAGATCGACACTGATCAATCAGCGTGGCCTAAAACGAATATGAGGGCCTGCACTCCATTCTCTCACATCGATGAACTCCTCGGATTGAAGATGAGTACCGTACAAGCATTGTGTCAACTCAGCTTCTTCCAAAGGTACACAAAGAGGAAGCAAGCAAGTGCAAAGAGGATGACGTGTAAAAGGTGTGCGGAGCCACTACCCTTGAGATGCCTGTCCACCTTGCGCATTGTGTTGCGCACTGCCGCCCGTGCCTTTGCCATGGTGTGCTCCTGATATAGACACGGGGCAAGGGGAAGAGGACGGGAGAGAGTCCGGTAAGCATTGTATGAAGGAGAGCAAAGAGAGACGAGTGATAGGTAAGGTGAGCTTTGAGAGGTAGGAGAAACATGACGAGAGGTAAGGATGTGGGGTTTATGAGCAGAAGGCTGTGCAGAGTGAGACAGAAAAATAAATTAGAAACGGGGAAGGTTTGGGAACTGAAAATACAAAAGTTTTGGCTTGAACAATGTTAGATGCTGGAAAGAAGTGCTTGAATGCATTGATAAGAACATAATACCTACATACTACATACCCACACACATGAACTTACCAGTTGAGTCAGAATTTCGTTCTGCTGCTTAGTCTCAAGCGCTATGTCTCCTGCTACCTGCACAAAGAGCACACATAGATGAGGCGAGACAGGGTGGGCGTCAGATGTGAGAGAGGGGAGAAAGGGAGACGAGCAGGATCTGCCAGTTTCAAGGGACTGATACACACACCTCGCCCTCGTTCGACTTGCCATGCTTTCCCTCTCCAGGCCCTTTCCCCAAGTTACCAACAGTTAGCTCTCGACCAGTTCTCCCGCTCCCCTCACCTCCATCTTCAGCCTCCTCTTCCCCTAGCCCCCCCTGCATCCCCTTCCCAGATTGCATTGCATATGACCTGATGCAACATCCCTTTTCCTATCCCCTGCACCCCGACTCACTCTCTTGACCTTAAAACGTTTTCCCGGTCACTCAACTCCACCGTCAACCTTGTGCTTCTCCTATTTCCTAGTCAAGGACCCCTTTCTGTATCCCCTAATACTATTTCCCTTCTCCTGTCTCCTCATGCCCTTGCTCCCAGCAGCAACTTACCCTTTGAGCTTGGACACCTGGTCCCTGAGCAAACCAATCTCCTGGTCTAGCCCAGCGCGAATGTGGTCCACATGCAGCCATTTCATAAAGCTCCTAAACACACTTCAACGGAACTTACTCTTTTGAGCTTGGACACCTGGTCCCTGAGGGACCCAATCTCCTGGTCTAGCCCCGCGCGAATGGGGTCCACCTGTAGTTGCACGTGCTCAGACCCTGCTGCTCCTGTGTCGCCCAGCAGCCAGCTGCGGCCCTTGCTGGGGAGAGGAAGACGGGGAAAGGAGCGGGTGGGAGAGGACGAGCTTAGGGAAGGATGGGGTCCAACTGCAGCTGCTCGTGCTCCCAGGCTTCTCCTGTGTCGCCCAGCAGCCAGCTGCGCCCCTTGCTGAGAAAAGGGAAGGTGGGGATGGTAGATGATGAGGGAAAGGAGGGGATGGGAGACAGGGAGCGAGAAGGAGGGGATGGCAGATGACGAGCTTAGGTGAGGATGCGGTACAACTGTAGCTGTGCGTGCTCTGACGTTGCTGTTGCGTCGCCCAGCAGCCAGCTGCGCCCCCTGCTGGATGGAGAAAGAAGGGGAAAAGCGCGGATGGAAGACGAGGAGAGGAGGCAAAGGTGGGCATGGGAGACACGGAGTAGAAGGGAAGGACTCGACGCTGTATGCGCTCCGAAGGTGCTGCGTCGCCCAGCAGCCACCTGCAGCCCGCCCTGGATGCGTAGAGGGCGGGAAAGGAGGGCCGTCGAGAGACGAGGGAAACAGGAGGGATTGAGGAGAGGCAGGGGAGGTTAGCGAGGGGCGGCAGTCAGGGAGCGCCTTCAGCTGGGTTCGCTGTGCGGGAGAAGCTGCCGTGCAGGTGGCTGCGATCTTGGTGGGGAGGCGGGAAGGAAGGGGATATGGACAGGGACAAATATGAGGGCCTTTCCTGAGCGAAGGAAGGAAGGAGGGAGGGAGGGAGGGGATGGTAGACCTGTGAGCTCACCTTGCAGCTGCAAACACTCCACATCAGGGGTGGAAGAACATGCGGATGTTGGGAGAAGGTTGGTGAGTGGGGGATGGGAAGGACGAAGGTCGACCGGAGGCTACACGCGAGAGATTCTCAGGCTGCCGCAATCGTTTGAAATGCGAGAGCTTGTGTCCACGGATGCTGGATGCAATAACAGTTGATTTCATGAAGTAATGAACAGTGCTCTGACGAAACAAGCACGGACTTACTCGTTTCGGTGGCTTGGTCTAAAGGCCATGGTTCCAGTGTTCCAATTCCGGACGGCTGGATCGACTTGCGATGACGAATTCGGAGGCAAGGCGAGTGGCAATAGTTCCGGCCCAAAAAACAGCAAATTCTGCAGCCACACAGTTCCTGCAACTCGTTCTACAAAACGGCCTACAGACTCTGCCTGATGGAGGTGGATTCGGACTCTAGAACTCACGACAGTCGAATTCGTTCACTACATCTGCTGCTTTTATCGCTGCTATCGCGGAGATCAAGAGACAGCTTCCTCCCCAGTCAGTGATGTCGGAGAAGCAGGGTCATAAGCAGCTTCGAATCTATCCAAAAGTAATGTGCGAGCAGTGGAACGGAACCAGGCTGGGAGGGGGACACCCGGAAACCGGAACCGAAACTTGAACGGACGCCTTAGTGGTGCCGACACCGGAAGGACTAGCCGAAGCACGGGAATCACCCGTCAGAAAGGAGGAGGAATCGCGGCTGAGCTGCGGATTTAGAGACTGGTAAGCAACCTTGGAAGTCGAAGGTATGGAGGTGAGGGAGACTAGATGGCTTTGGCTCTTGGCAACAAACTGAACTGACGTGAAATTGAAAGCGCCTCCCTCTTTTTCTGCTTCCTGCTCTGTGGCAAGAGGCAAGTGTTGGTTGTGGTTGTTCCTTCTGGGCAGATGGGAAGTGAACTTCCAGTTATTCGATAACTCCGAGATTTGATTGGTTCATCCTCATCCCGATTACTGCCCGAAGATTGCAACCTGGGGACGGATTAATTTCCCTGACCCTGGTGTCAGACCGTCTGTATTCTGTGGTCAAACTGCGGGAAGGAGTGGCCTGGCGAAGTGTTACAAACGTTTGAGCTGACAGCTAGAGGGCATCTCGCTTTGGCGAAGACTTGTAGCGTAACGGAAGACTGGGGCCGTGGATTCTAGAATCTTGGGTCAACCAAACCATTTCCGAAATGGGAGCATCGCTCGTTTCCGCTGCGATTCGCAAAGAAGTCACAACGGTTGCCTCTTGCAACGAACAACCCCTGGCGAAATTCCGAGCGGTCCACGACACGAGTGCGCGAAAGGTCTCCCCACGAAACAGAGCGCCCCCGCAACCTACACATGCCCCTTCACGTGCGCTCACGACGGAGCAACGACGTTCCACGAAAGTGGCCGCCATCTAACCCTCTGACAACCACGAGCCAATAGAAACGCAGAATCCAAACGACCACCGGCAAGTTACCAGTTTGGGCTTTCCAGAACCGACGGCCATGATGGTAGGTGGCACGGCACCGTAGCACTGGCGGGAGGAAAAGGGAACACAGGAAGGGGTGGCGGAAGATTGTTAGGTCAGGCGCACGGGAATTCCCGAGGAGGGGGATTCGTCCATCTCACCGCTCCCCCCACGCATGTCAGTTTTCCCTCCCACGGTAAAGAGCAGCGAGCGATTAGACAGGGGTAGGGATGAAACTCCAAAATCCAGATTTCAGAGGCAAAACTGAGAGGAGGAAGGAGCTGAGCAAGCAAGCAAGCGAGTGGTGACTGGGATGAGACAGAGGACTGCTGTGGACTAAGGAGCGTCCAAACTCGACCAAGGCAAGGAAGTTTAGTGCGCTTTGAAGTTAGTCCAGGGTTTTAATTTGTGTTGTCAGTGCAACTTCAGCAACAGCCTACATCGCTTGCATGCAAGGTGACTTTGCGAGTTTAGATCTGACGGCAGAAAGTACCTCGTTGCAATTCTCGGTACATACTCGTCCACCAGGCTCATCCTTTCCAATCCGATATTAAAGCTACTCGCCTAGCTTTCTTAGTCGCTCCAGTCGACGGTTGTGCATGGCAGACCCTGAGCATCTCTCAACACATCCATAGCTCGAAGTTTCGAGGCGTCATCACCACTTAGGGTTTCCCTGTCTAAGCGTCAGCACCCCTCGCAGATTGACTAACGATGCTGACTCCAGTCAGCCAACCGTCGTCCTTCTCGTCGGCTCTCACAAGCGTAGGCCCGTCGTCGTACAGAGACCGAACAGCAGAACTTTTCTCCATCGCAGAGGGCCTTCAAAAAGCACCACCACTGCCTGGAGCCGCCAATGGCGATGTTACCAGCGGTTTCGCCCGATCAGCTGAAAAGAGCCTCGCGTCCGTCCCTGGCGGGGGTTCGCCAGGCGGGATCGTCGCTGCCGGCGGTCCTGCAGCCAGCTCGGCCGCTTCGGCGGTTCAATCAGAGTTCAACCGGAGAGCGTCGCGAATCGGGTTGTGTATTCATCAGACGACGCAAAAGCTGCAGAAGCTGGCGAAACGTAAGCTCGGTGAAATTGGTTGATTTTAGGTCGACCCCGAATCATGGATGCGAAGTTGGCCTCTTTTGTTTTGTTTTCCTTCCTTTCTTTACTTGGAGCTGAGTCCGCAGTGTCCGTCCCTGCGTCCCCTTGGTTGACATGGCGACATAGCGTCGTAGTCATACTGTTTTCCCGCTTATTCTCCAGCGAACCCCTGACCGTGTTTCCGTGTGATCCCATACTTGTGTTTCATTCCGTGGGCAGTGGCCAAGAGAACGTCGATGTTCGATGATCCTACGGCGGAGATTCAAGATCTAACGGCGGTGATTAAGCAGGACATAACGGCGCTGAACGCGTCGATCTCAGACCTCCAAGCGCTCTGCGAGGCACAGGCAGAGGCGAGCGGCGGAAAGAAGGGGCAGAACCGGCACACGAGTGAACACAGCAACACGGTGGTCGATAACCTCAAGAGCCGCCTTATGAACACCACCAAGGAGTTTAAAGACGTCCTTACAATGCGAACAGAGGTACGTCCTGCTGCGTCAGCATGTGCGCCTGTAAAGTTGGAGAGCTCCGTGATTGTAAGGGTAGCGAGCTATGCGCTATAGCCTCTCTCGTCTTTGACGGCTATAGGCGGCCGGGGGGAATCTAGAGTCGAGGGCACATTTTTGTCCCCTGGGCATAACAACGGACATCACGCGGCGATCGTCTATAGCTCGCCTAAGAATGTTTTGGTTGCCTCGTTATCCAACTCTTATCGTTTTACGCTCGCGAAGGCCCTCCTCATGAATTCATGCATGCCATAAAGGCGTTTCTTCGTAGATTAGGATGGTTCGAGCGTCCAATCGTTTTGCCCAGGCTTACCTTTTCATCCTCTTCTCTAATCCTCCGGTTCTCGTTTTCTCTGAACGTTTCGCCACATTCCAGACCTTACATGGTCCCCTACAGCTTCTTTCGCTCGAGAAAAACCTTTCTTGGCTGTCTTGTCCTCACGTTTACGTACCACTCGTCCCTCCCTCCCTCTCCCTGCCATTCGCCCGAACCCTCCAGAATCTCAAGGTGCACGAGAACAGGCGCCAGCTCTTTTCCGCGACGTCGGGAATCGCGGGCGCGTCAGGAGCGCGGCAGCGGCCAGCTGCAGCCGCGCTCGCCGCTGCTCCCCCTCCGTGGGCCGCGTCCTCTGGCACGCCTTCAGCCACGTCTGCCTCACAACTATTCAGCAACACTCCCAGGTGGGCGGGTGTATTGTGCCATGCATTGGAGGAACGTGTGGTACGTACAGAGGTGAAAATTGCGACACAGGCGACCAGGTCAGGTCAAGTCAGTTCAGGTGTGTCTTCATGCTGAGAACCTCAAGAGACGGAGACATGGAGCGGAATCTTAAGGGTGGTCAAGTTCTTTGATAGTCAGTTCATTCAGTGCGGTTCTGTAGGGTACCTCACATTAGAAAACGATTTGGGTAGACTTTACCGTTGTGGGCTCTCACACACCGAACTTGATTGACGAGATTGAACAGGAAAACTATGAGCTGCACACGCCGTAAGGTCAGGTCAGGTCAGGTCAGGTTCGACCATGCTGGTGGAGTGTGCTGGGTAAAGCGGGTTTGTATGGCAGTGGGCCAGGTTTACCAGAGGTGAGGCTATTGCTAGTGAAGGAAGCAAGCGCACAGGGGGAAGCAAGTTGAGTCAGCTGGTACTCATATTCAGACCTCGTGAAAGCTATGTCTCCCTGTTCCCCGTGCTTCCCTCTGCCCCAGCAGCAGCAGCAGCACGCGGCGGAGCCACCCGTTTGACCCTCTGCAGCAGCAGGGGCAGCAGCAGGCGCTGATAGCGCAGCAGGACTCGTACATGAGCAGTCGGTCAGAGGCGCTGCAGAACGTGGAGACGACTATAGTGGAGCTCAGCACGATATTCCGGGACCTTGCCACCATGGTCGCGCAGCAAGGGGAAATGGCCATCCGGTAAGCCACCAGCCACTCTCCCAACTTTGCCCCTCTCAACACGCACCCCCCTTCCACCCCTCAACCCCCCCCCCTTCCACCCCTCAAACCAACACCCCCCCCCCCCCCCCCCCCACTTCTCCTCCCCGCCCCCACCCCTCCCTCCGCCCCCCTCTCCCCCACCACCAGGTCTTTATGAGTTTTATGTTGCATGTTGTTTTCGGCAGTATTTCCTCGTGCTCATTCTCAACAAGCTCAACAGTTTGGCCATGGCATGTTTCTCATTCTCAACAGTCTGTATAACACTGAATGTGCCCTGATGCTGTGTGTGCTGGTTGTGACTCTCTGCACTCTTTTTGCAGTATTGATCAAGACATGGATGACACTCTGACAAACGTGGAGGGAGCACAGGGCGCGTTGCTCAAGTATCTCAACAACATCTCATCCAACCGATGGCTCATTATCAAGATCTTCTTTGTGCTTATTATCTTCCTCCTCATCTTTGTCGTCTTTGTGGCATAGAATACATGAACCATATATTCTGCTCCGCCTCTTCAGTTTCTGCTGTGCAGTGTGTTGGACGTCTCCCTTTTTTGTAGGTGGAAGCGTGCAGCATAGCTCACCCATATGACATCAATGTGTACATCCCAAAGATTGGAAATGGAGTAAGAAAAATGCTTGTTGTCAGGGGGGTTCTACTGTCAACAATCTATGTGGTGTGCACACGCATATCTGAGTTCACTTATACATCAAGACATGAGGTGTGAGGGTGACATGAGACAAAATTGGGAAGCACTTCGTAATGAAGAACCATTTTGAGAGCTCGCAATCATCACGGGTCCATGACAATTTCCAAACGGAATCAGCTTTTACTGAATCAGTAGGATCTGGGCTGCGCTCCCCCAAATTCGCCTGCCTGTTGCCTGCTCTCCGTCCCCGCAGTCTGGCATCTTCCCACAGTCTCAGGGTAAATACTTTATCGCCGTTTTGCGAGTCGAGATTCTCGTGAAAGTCTGTCGCAAGCGCAATTCCCGCAATGGCGGGCAAGCCTAGGCCCTCCGCGATGGCGCGTCGTGCTATGTTGGTTCGGGTAGTCTCTATATCCGCCTGCTTGCTCCTCTGTGCCCTCACCTGGCAACAGTACCATGCGTCCTCCGTGGAAGCTGATCTCGACCAATCAGCGTCGTCCACGTCATCGTTACGCTCTTCTCTTGCCTGGCTCTCGCGCAAAGCAACCAGAAAGCTCGATCCGGCTGGCCAGGACCAGCAGCAGGACGGGCAGAACAAAAAAAAACCTAACCTGCCCCTCGGCCCCCAATTTCATCTCCGTAACTTCGTCTCTCAGCGCTTCTACGAACCCCGCGTACCCAATGCTCATTCCAAACCTCAATCCGAACATCTTTCCGAACCTCCTTCTCGCTCGCAGCAGCCCCGGCGCCACCCCTCGGGCCTCTGCGTCGCCATCCCCACCGTCCCTCGGCCAACCGTGGAGCCCAACGTGTCCAGCTGGCAGCTCCTGACCCGGCTTTTGCGGGATCTAGACGGCGAGCGCGCCTCGGGGGAGGGGGTTCTGGAGCACGCGATTAAGGTGGTGGTGTATAGCGCTTCGTGCATGTATAGGTTCCAGCCAGGGGCGGCGGATGTGGGGAACATAGTGGGGGACGGGACACGCGTAACGGAGCTGAATAGGGCAGTCGAAGAGCAGTACACGCAGGCTGTTAGGGTTTCGCGGGAGCTTTCCGTCCCCGTCTATGTGGTCCCCGCTAACGTGGACGTTTGTGCGTTCATTTATAACAAGACACGTTTGGAGGAGGAGGTTCCGAGGGAGCTACAGTACGAGGATTGGAGCCGGTGGATGTGGATGGCGAAGGAGAGCATCGATTTCGTGTACGCCGTGCGACAGTGTATGGTTACCAACCCGCGTTACATATTGTTCCTGGAAGACGACACGAAACCCATCCACCGTTACGACTTGGCAATCGAGCGTTTCATCTCAGAAGATCTTGCCAACAAGTCCTGGGCCGTACTATCCCTGTACCACCCTCGATCGTTCCACTGGCCAGTGCAGCATGCAGACGAATACCTCATGCCCTGCTGCACCCAGGCGCTACTCTTCAACGTTACCGCGTTACCAGCGCTGCTGAATTTCGTTGAAGGGAACTTCATGCGAGCGCCGATTGACCTATTACTGCGCGACTACTTGAAAGAGAACGCCCTGCATGCATACGTGCATGTACCGTCGCTGTTCCAGCACATGGGCGTGTTCAGCACCAAGGACAGCAGCAGCAGGGCGTTCCACTTTGACTTCCTGTTTGGCAAGAACGCTTCGGCGTTGGCGGCCATGCGCGGTGCGGCCGACGGGGTGAGGCTAGCGCCGCTGACGGTGACATGAGGTTGGTAGTAGTGGGCTGGATGGTGGTACCGTGATGGCATTGGTGTCGTGACAGTCAAGAGGAAGGTGTGCGGGTGCCGATGGTGCGTTAGATGGTGGTGATAGTGGGTGTGGCAGAGTGGCAGACGGAGTGGGAACAGGAAGCTGGATGGAGGGACACGGCTGCAGTGGAGCGGATTGCAATGACAGAAGGTTGAAGACGGCTCAAGACGGCTGAAGCACTACAAAATCCAGTCCTTGTGGCGTGCTGCTGAGGCACACACTGCATCATATATTGCAAGGGTGCCAAAATTCGGGGGAGGATGAAGCCATGCGTTTGTTATGCTGGCGATCGCGAGCGGTTTCAAGGTATGGCTGTCAGCCTGGCACCTCCAACTATCAAAGCTGTTCATGCATCCATCTTGATGTGCAAAATGGTTGATTGGTTCACTAACCACCTTTTATTCCTGTCCGTGTTATCCTTCACACATACCTGTGCAAAAGGCTTCCCAATCTTCTAGGCATTGTTTTGTACTTGTGCTTGATTCCTGGATTGTGTCTGCAACAGATTCCAGCCACTGCTTCTTACAAGGTCCAAGAGTAAGCACTATGTTGAAGTATACTCGACAGAGTTTACTTATGCATTCCTGATACAAAACTTAGACTGTACTAGTAGCGCGATACTGTCAGAAATCCAGTCACTAACCACTGGGTTAAAAGGGCTTGTTGAATAGCGGGTAAGTGCGCCCATAGCCCCCCAGGCTCTGCACCTGTGGCCCTTCTCCGAGGATCTTTTCAAGGGTAACCCAGCGGGTCACTCGACAGATACCTCATATGGCCGTGATGACATCAGCAGTAGCGAGTCAACGTGTGAACAGTAGGTTCGCGCGTATAGTCACTGGAAGGGTCACGCCAATCTCAGTCACATTTGTTGTAAACTGAACTATCAAGAAAGGAGAAGGCTGCCATGAAATGGCGGCTGAGGTTTAGCTAGGGAAGATTGACGAGGGAGAAGAGTCGATTAGGAAGAGAGGAGTACAAGGAGGGGATTGTACCCTCTACAGTAAGGTTCAGTAACAATTACCAAGCCTATCAATTTTATATAACTTATACTATAATTTTAACACACCCCCTAGGTGTGGTAGTCACACACCCCACACCCCCTAACCTAGCACCCCCTTTCCCAGCAGCCACTACTACTCCAGCAGGGCCAACCCCAAGGCCCTGGAGATGGCGACGGCGGCCGTCCCGGCAGCGGCGACGACGGGCGTGCGGCGGCAACGGGCCTGCGGCGACGACAGCGGCGACGGCGACGGCTTCGGCAACGGCGGTAACGGCAGCAGCCCCCGCCCTTCCGGCGGCGTGTCCAAACTCCGCGACAGGGGGACGACCGGCGAGAGTCAGGCGGCGGCTGTGGTGAATCTTCAAATCTTCAAATCTTTGTGGCGGCTGTGGGAGGGGCGGGGCTTCGAATCTTCAGCGCGGCGCCATTGCTGGCGCGGCGCTTACTGGCGTGCGGGCGGGCTGCATGCACAGCAGCGACGCAGGTGGGACGCGGCGGCTGCAGTCCGACAACGCCGCCGCGGCACCATTACGACGCCACCACAGCGTGGCGTCGGTGCCGCGGCTGCTCGTCGAAGCTGAGACTGCAGGACTAAAAGGCCGCCGCGGCATCACGGAAAAGATGCCACGGCGGCAGGTAGGCGGAAAGCCGCAACGGCGGCGAAGTAACAACGAGAACGCAGCGGAAGCGTAATGAGCAGGCCCGGGACGGGCGGCCTCCTCTGATACCATATTGTAAACTGAACTATCAAGAAAGGAGAAGGCCGCCATGAAATGGCGGCCGAGGTTTAGCTAGGGAAGATTGACGAGAGAGAAGAGTCGATTAGGAAGAGAGAGGAGTACAAGGAGGGGATTGTACCCTCTACAGTAAGGTTCAGTAACAACTACCAAGCCTATCAATTATATATAACTTATATAATTTTAACAATACGAGCAGTGACTAGTCATCTCACGCGAATAGTCGCGATACACTACGAACAGATACATTCCGAATAGGTACTTACTAGACTATAAATATGCCTGTGTAACTGTGTTGCTCATTATTATTATCCTTGTCATTTCGGACACTTCCAATACAAGGTGTAAAGTCTTCCGCTGAATTTTACTCTTGGTTCCACCAACTCTAGATCCTGACCACCTTAAACACGTGGTTCCTATATGGTATTACCGTATTCCCCCGGATATATGCACCGCCGGCTAAAACGCACCATGGTGACTCAGTGTCCAGTGTAAAGAGACCTGATGTCACAAGATCGAATTGATCGAGGAAAAGTTGCACTATTGATCGATACAAGGTGCTTTTTACTTCCAAGGTACATCAGGTAACCAAGTTTATTATATCCGAAGGGAATATACCCTTCTAGAAATAGAGTCACCCTGCGTATAGCCACACGATGCTATTGACTTTAAAGGATTACGACAGGATTACGTTAGATATTGCGTGCCAATAGATTCCGAGCCTGGTCGGTGATATAATTATAATTATAGGATAAACCAAAGGATAATGGAATATGAGGAATAGGAAACCAAATGGGATGAGGTAAAGACCAAATAAATTAGGATAAAGAGGAGAATCCGATAGAGATAGAAATGAGAAAGAAGTGTAACGGGGTCGTACTCACACCTGACGCTGGGTTCCGCTCAAATGTGACTAAGTGCCGACCGGTGGCTGTGTCTGTGCAAGCGGCGTGTCTCTCGCGTCCAGGGAACGTAGCGGTGACGCTTTGGTCCTGAAGGTGACCGACACCCACTAGGTTCCAGGCAAATGAGGGGATGTGCAGATCGGTGAGGGAGCCGGAGGGGACAACTGGACATGGCAGAGTGATGGTGCTATGTGCAACAGCTATGGCGGAGGATTTTGCTAATGGGATACGGGCAGGTCTAGGAAGCGGGGTGAGAGCAGTACTGTCGTGAAAGAAACAACGAGACGCGCCTGAGTCGAGGGCAAAGGAGAGGACCGACGTGGCGGGGCCTAGTGACGAATCTCTAACAGATCCTGCGCCAGCTGCAGCAGGGGAGTCTGCGCTGACGCAGCTGGGGATCCTAGACTACGCACAGCAGTGGCTCCTAGACTACAAACAGTAGGATAATAAGAGCCAGCAATACTACAAGCATCAAAATACATAGCATACAAGGTGTGATCGACCTGAATCATATCCATATCAAAGATAGGAACCCCACGATGAAGCAAGGCAGGCCAGGGGGGTACCTGCACCAGCGGGCCAAAGCGGCGGCGGAAGGCGATTGTCCAGGTAGCGGAAGCAGCGAGCGGTAGTGTGCCCTGCACGCCCGCACACCTAGCCTGCCTGCGGGCCGGTTGGCAGCTGGTACATGCAGGTCATTGCGTCTCCAGAACCAAAAGCACCCTGGATCACAGAAGAGCCATGCGACCCCCAGGGCACCGACTGCCCTGGGCCCCAACCCCCACGGCCTCCACCACGACCACCACCCCCAGGGCCCGCCAGCCCCCACGACATTTGCGGCTGCTGCGGCTACGGCTGCTACTGCTGCTGCTGCATCTCAGACCCCAACTCCGACTGACCATCCTCTCCGTCTGTACCCGCACCCCTTCTACTCGCTGCTGCCGACCCCCCATGACCCTTGCCCCCCTTGCCCTTGCCCTTGTTGCCAAAGGAGCGGCCAGGGGCAGAGGCAGCCGCTGCAGTCTTGGCTACGGAGGCGAAGGCACGAGGGACAATCACAGGGGAGAGAGCACTGCCCCTGAAAGATAGGGACTGCCGGAGCACCAGTGGAACCAGCGATGGCACGGAGGCGGTCCTCTACCTCAGTCAGGGAGGTAGAGAAGAAATCAAGGGTTTAGCTCATAGGGGTGACAAGCGAGGAGCGCGTTTCGGGCAGAGGCAAGGCGGTTAGGGAGGCGGGTAACAAGGAAGTAGATAGTAGCGAAGAGAGGGGGGGGGCGAGCGCTAGCAGGGCCTCATTGCAGGCCGCACACCAGCGGTCCTTGAGGGAGTGCAGGTGCTCGACTAAGTCTGCTACAGTGATGAAGGACGTCAGGTCAGGGTGGAAGAAAGGGAGGAGGAGACGACCAAAAGTGGCAGACGACGGGGTGGAAAACCTAGTGAGGATAGCCAGCCAGAGGGCGCGGGCTGACGCAGCAGCCACAAAGTGGGAGTGCTCGTCAACGGCAGGCACCTAAGGATGGCGACACATGCAGTGGCGTCGCGACATGCTCAGACTGAGTAGGCGGAATGAGCTGCAGCGTACACAGCCTGCAACGCAAATATCACGTCAGCAGCAAGGGCGCCCAGGCGGGGGACAGAAGGGAGCTCACCAGTGACATGAGCGTCTAGGGAGTTGTCGTCAACGCGCTGCCTCGTGAGTTGCAGGAGAACCGCTCCCTGCTAGGCGGAAAAACCAACCGCTCGCCCCTCCCCATCCAGGCGAAGAACGAAGACGCTGGGCGACACCATGCTAGCGGCTGTGGTGGTAGCTGCGGCCGTGAAGACAGAGGCGACAGAGGCAGGGACAGCGGCGGCAGCTGCTATATGGGCAGCATGAGCAGGTGCTGTAGTGGGAGCCGGTGGCAGTGGCAGATCCTAGCTGGCGGCTGGGTGGCGACGACGGCGGGCCAGCGGCGAGCTGGCTGGTGGCGGCGGCTGCGCGGCTGCAGGCTAGCCGCGGGAGCAGCGGCAGCAGCGGCTGCAGTGGCAGTGGCTGCTGGTGGCAAGAGTAGCTGAAGTTGCGGCTGCAGCAGGAGCTGCGGCAGCAGCAGGAGCCGCAGCAACGGCAAGAGTGGCCGTAGCGGCAGCTGCAGCGGCAGTGGCGGCAGTGAGAGAGCGACGGCGGCAGCCGCGGCAGCAGCGGCAGTGGCGGCTGCAAGGGCAGCAGTGGCAGCGGCAGTGGGAGCAGCTGCAGCTGCAACTACAGCGGCGGCCACGGCAACGGCAGAGGCAACAGCAGCAGCAGCGGCGGCAGCAACCGCGGCAGTGGCAGCAGCGGCAGCGGCAGTGGCAGCAGCGGCAGCGGCAGCGGCAGCAGCAAATTTGGCAGCGGCAGCGGCGGCTGCTGCAATGGCAGAGGCAGCAGCAGCAGCGGCGGCAGCGGCCGCGGCAGTGGCAACGGCGGTAGCGGCAGCGGCAGCGGCAGTGGCGACAGCAGCTGGCGGCTGCAGCGGCGGTGGCGGTAGCAGCAGTGGCAGCGGCAGCGGCGGCAGCGCAAGCGGCGGCAGCGGCAGTGGCGGCAGCAGCAGCGGCAGTGGCAGCGGCGGCAGCGGCAGCGGCAGCGTCAGCAGCGGCAGTGGCGGCAGCAGCTGCAGCAGTGGCAGCGGCGGCAGCGCAGGCTGCTGCAGCGGCAGTGGCGGCAGAGGCAGTGGCTGCAGTGGCAGCGGTGGCTGCGGCTGCGTCAGTCGCTGCAGCGGTTGCAGCAGTGGCAGTGGCTGCAGCGGCAGCTGCAGTAGTAGCCGTGGCAGCGGCAGTGGCACAGGCAGCAGCGGCAGTGGCACAGGCAGCAGCAGCAGCGGCGGTAGCAGCAGCAGCAGTGGCTGCAGTGGCAGTGGCGGCTGTTTGGCGACTAGTTGGCAACAGCTGCTGGCGGCGATCTGGCGGACGCTGTTGGCGACTAGCTGGCTGTCGCTAGTAGTGGCGAGCTGGCTAGTATCGCTGTCGGTGAGCTGGATAACGTGGCTGCTGGCTAGCAGGAGAAAAAGGAGAATGGGATAGAGAAGAAATGTAGTAATGAGAAAGAAGTGTAACAGGGTCGTACTCTCACAGACGAGCAGAGGCCAGTGGCGGCCAGCAGGTGCGAAGCAGGCTAA